CCTCTGCCCCTATCCCCTCACACTGCACCCACCGCAATCCACCGCACCGCACCACACTCCACCTCGCTCCACCGCACTCCACCGCAGGGCACCATTGCGGACGGCACGCCAGTGATCCCGATCAGCGCGCAGCTCAAGTACAACGTGGACGTGGTGTGCGAGATGATCATCAAGCGCATCCCCATCCCCTCTGCCCCTATCCCCTCACACTGCACCCACCGCACTCCACCGCACCGCACCACACTCCACCTCGCTCCACCGCTCTCCACCGCAGGGCACCATTGCGGACGGCGCGCCAGTGATCCCGATCAGCGCGCAGCTCAAGTACAACGTGGACGTGGTGTGCGAGATGATCATCAAGCGCATCCCCATCCCCGACCGCGACTTTGTGTCGCCGCCCAACATGATTGTCATCCGGTCCTTCGATGTCAACAAGCCCGGCGCTGAGGTCGATGATATCAAGGGTGGCGTTGCTGGCGGCAGTATTCTGCATGTGAGTCAGTCCCTCCACCCCCCATCCCCCTTCTGCACATGAGTGAGTTCCTCCCTCCCCTGCTCGCTCGCCGCCCAACATGATTGTCATCCGGTCCTTCGATGTCAACAAGCCCGGCGCTGAGGTGGACGATATCAAGGGCGGCGTTGCTGGCGGCAGTATTCTGCATGTGAGTCGCTCCCTCCACCCCCCATCCCCCTCTGCACATGAGTGAGTTCCTCCCTCCCCCACTCGCTCGCCGCCCGACATGATTGTCATCCGGTCCTTCGATGTCAACAAGCCCGGTGCTGAGGTTGATGACATCAAGGGCGGCGTTGCTGGTGGCAGTATTCTGCATGTGAGTCGCTCCCTGCCCTGCGTGCTCCCCTCCCTACTCCTCCCGTCCCCCCCTTTCCTCCCTCCCTCCATTCCCCCTCCCCCTTCCGCCCATTCCATCCCCTCCTCCACCCCCCCCTCCCACCACCTTCTCTCCTTCTACCTCTCCCCTTCCCCGCTTTTCAGTTTTCTCCATTTGTGCCCTCCTCATAACCCTTTCTTCCTGTCTCCTTTGCATGCTCTTTCTACTCAACCCTCCTTACCATCTCAATCGTACAACAGGGCGTGCTGCGCGTGGGGCAGAAGATCGAGGTGCGCCCGGGCATAGTGGCCAAGGAAGCGGACGGCAACATCCGGTGCACGCCCATCTGCTGCTTCTTACCACCACCCTCTCATACCAACCTCTCAACCCCCTCTTCTTCTTCTCCTCCCCTTCCCCTCCCGCCCCTCCCCTTCCCCTTCCGTCCCACCCCGCATCATTCGCTCCCCATTCTGCTCCCCCTCTGCCATCTTCTTCCGCTTCCTCTGTCACAGGGAGTGCTGCGGGTGGGGCAGAAGATAGAGGTGCGCCCAGGCATCGTCGCTAAAGACGCGGACGGCAACATCCGCTGCACGCCCATCTTCTCGCGCATCATCTCACTCTTCGCCGAGCAGAACGAGCTGCAGTTCGCCGTGCCAGGGGGGCTCATCGGCGTGGGCACCACCATTGATCCCACGCTTACTCGTGCGGATCGTCTCGTGGGGCAGGTGCTGGGGGAGGTGGGGGCCCTCCCAGACGTCTTCGTTGAGCTGGAGGTGAGACGGATGGGTTGGGATCGGTGGGGATGGGCACACGGGGAATGTATGTTTGTATGTGGTATGGGCATGGGGTGATTTCATGGGGCCAGGGAGGAGCAGAACGAGCTGCAGTTCGCCGTGCCGGGGGGGCTTATTGGCGTGGGTGCCACCATTGATCCCACGCTCACCCGCGCTGACCGCCTCGTGGGGCAGGTGCTGGGGGAGGTGGGGGCCCTCCCAGACGTGTTCGTTGAACTCGAGGTGAGACGAGGAACATGGGGGTTTGATGGGGCACAAAGGAGGAGCATATGGGGAGTCAAAGTTGGGACGTGGTGTGTGGGCATGGGGTGTATGAGCAGGCGAGTGCAAGGAGCAGAACGAGCTGCAGTTCGCCGTGCCGGGGGGGCTCATCGGCGTGGGAACGACCATTGATCCCACGCTCACTCGCGCTGACCGCCTCGTGGGGCAGGTGCTGGGGGAGGTGGGGGCCCTGCCAGACGTGTTCGTTGAGCTGGAGGTGGGCTGGGGAACGGGTGGAGCCTGCTTGTGTGTGCGGGGCGAGAGCTCGGGTGTGTGCAGCAGAATGGGGATTGCCTCGTGGGGCAGGTGCTGGGGGAGGTGAGCGCGCCACTGCCATACGTGTTTGTAGAACTGGAGGTGAGGAGCCGGGGAAGGAGTATGGACAATGAGTGTTTGGATGAGTGAGCATGGATGTGTGGGCATGGTGTCACATTGGGTGAGGCAAGGGCGAGGCGAGGTGCTGATGCTCAACATTGTGCCCATGTTCCCCTCCTCGTCACACTCCCCATGTCCTTGTACACACGTCCCTCCCCTCCCCACACCCGACAGATCAATTTCTCCCTGCTACGACGAGGGCATTGAGAAGCAAGGCAAGGTGGCCAAGCTGACAAAGGGCGAGGTGCTGATGCTCAACATCGGGTCCCCATCCAACCCCCCTCTCAATCCCCCAACCTGCCCCCGTCTCTCCCTTCTTCAATCCCACAGATCAACTTCTTCCTGCTGCGTCGGCTGCTAGGAGTGCGAACCAAGGGTACAGAGAAGCAGGGCAAGGTGGCAAAGCTGACAAAGGGCGAGGTGCTGATGCTGAACATCGGGTCCATGTCGACTGGTGCACGCGTGGTGGCCGTGAAGAACGATCTCGCCAAGCTGCACCTCACCTCGCCCGTTTGCACCAAGACTGGCGAGAAGCTCGCTCTCAGCCGCCGCGTGGAGAAGCACTGGCGGCTCATTGGGTGGGGGCAGATCCAGGCTGGCGTGAAGCTTGATGTGCCGCCACCTGTTGACTTGCCCAAGTAGATGTGGGATCATGGGTGCCGTACTTGTTTAGAGAAATTGGGTGACGGGTTCTGTAGCATGCAAGCACCAGAGGCATGGCTGTGGCTGTAGCAGGCCAAGGGGAGGTGGATGGTGGAAGATGGGCAGGAGGAGAAAAAAGGGATCATAAGATGGTGTTGCAGTCAGCTGGTCCGTGCTTTGGGCTACACTGTTAATTGATATAGCATATCTTATAACTGCCTACAGCATGCTAGTGTATTAGTTTAGTAATTAGAACCAACTGCTGGTGGTGTACCCCTTTCCCCTTCCTCTCTGTCCTATTTGTACTCCCAACTTCATAATGAACCCCCCCTTTTTTGGCCATCTCCATCCTTCTCGCCACTTTCCTAGCTCCTAAGTCCAGAACCTTAAGCATGGTTCCTAATTTACTATGACATGGCATTAGAGCTGGAAATTTCCTTGGACCTAAGAATTATGGGCCCACCAATAGCGCAGCCCGTTAGCACGCCCCGTGCTGGCTGCCCCATCCCGCAATGCTCGCCCCGTCGCGCTCTGCCCGTGGCGAGCGTGCCAACGAGCCGTGGCGAGCGCGCCAGCGACAGTCGCCAACGGCGCTCGCCAGCGACAGCGCGGACGCCAGCACGAACGGCGGGCGCTAGCGCCAGCGCCAACGGCGGACACCAGCGCCAGCGCCGACGCCAACGCACAACGCCACTGGCGGACGCCAGCGCCAGCGCCGACGCCATCGCCCTCGCCATCGCCACCTCGCTCCCCGCCTCCGCACCTGCTGCTGCCGTGCTATTCTACGGTGGGCATTGTCAGAATCCCAGCCACTAACCACTGGGATAAAAGGGCTTGTTTGTGTAGCGGGTGAGTGCGCCCATAACCCCCCAGGCCGCCGTGCCTGTAACCCTTCCCTAGGATCAATCGGGGATCACCAGTGGACCTCTGACACCCCCCCGCACTGGGATGCCCGAGGTGCACACACCGGGATTCGAACCCGAGACCTTCGCTCTGATACCATGTCAGAATCCCAGCCACTAACCACTGGGATAAAAGGGCTTGTTTGTGTAGCGGGTGAGTGCGCCCATAACCCCCCAGGCCGCCGTGCCTGTAACCCTTCCCTAGGATCAATCGGGGATCACCAGTGGACCTCTGACAGGCATTGCGGGGGGGAGGTGGCGGGGCTTGCGCCTGTGGCTACGGGGGTGCTTAAGCCCCCGTGAACCTGCACCTTCAGCGCCCACCGCCTCTCCCTCACTGCCGCATCTGCTACTGTGGGGGGGAGGGTGAGAAGGTGGCGGGAACGTGCTTACAGCACCTACCGCCTCCTCCTCTCTTCCCTTGCCGCCCTTGCTGCATTGGGGGGGAGAGGGAGGGGGTGTGAGGGTGGCGGGTATGATCAGTAAACCGCCGCATCTGCACTTTTCTCCTTACTCCAGCAGCCGCCTCTCCACTCCGCCTCCTCTCATCCGCCTCATGTACACCACCGGCTTCCTCCTCCTATCCAACCGTTGGTGTGTAACACCGGCAGCCTACGCCCTCCAAATTAGCCCTCCGCCCTCCGTTCTGGCGTTCACAGGTGCTGCCGCTCAGGCACCTCTGTTTCTGTGCCTATCCCAGCTACATGTGCCGCTCTCCAGGCGACCTGGTGCCAGACACCACTAGCTATAGCCGTAGGCAGTTACGGGGGTGTGTTAATTGATATAGCATATCTTATAACTGCCTACAGCATGCTAGTGTATTAGTTTAGTAATTAGAACCAACTGCTGGTGGTGTACCCCTTTCCCCTTCCTCTCTGTCCTATTTGTACTCCCAACTTCATAATGAACCCCCCCTTTTTTGGCCATCTCCATCCTTCTCGCCACTTTCCTAGCTCCTAAGTCCAGAACCTTAAGCATGGTTCCTAATTTACTATGACATATACCTGGCTTTGCTTTTCACGTTTCTTAGGATTTGGCACTGTAGGCTAGGCATCAAGCATAATCACATTGCTTTCTTCTAACAAATTACAATCCAAGCTGGTTAATGTGCAAAAGGTTGCAACACAATATTATTGTATGCTCACTTCCTGGTACCGTACAATCTTTTGGAGAGCAGCTGGTAGAAAACACAGCCATCATTTGAGGGCAAGCACGAGTGCAGCAACGAGGGCCAGCAGCACCCCGAGCACAGCCAGCAGCAGTGACACAGCCCTGCCTGCTGAACCCTTCTCCTTCACCCCTGCCTTCACAGCACTCTCATCTCTGCTGCCACCGCTGCCAGTGCGGGTGCTGCTGTGTAGCTTGGCAGGTGCAGTTCCAGGCGGAAGCCACACAGCAGCAGGTGCAGCAGCACTGCCCTCCATGCCACTCTGCTCCTCCTCTTCCCCTTCCACCTGCCCCTCCCACTCCAAACCAACGCCCTGCTCCCTCACTGCCTCGTCTGCCACTGCTGCCATCCCACACAGCTCACTGCACCGCTCCTCTGCTGCCTGTGAGAGGGAAGATGGGCACAAGGGGAAGGAGTGGGTGAGCGTAGTGACTTGTTAGTGGTCTCAAAAAGGAGTGGGTCAGCGTAATGCAGTGGGGAGCACTGGCGCTGCCACTGCTGCCATCCCACACAGCTCGCTGCACCGCTCCTCCGCTGCCTGTGCGGGGGACGCAGAGAAGGGGAGAGGGCGAAAGGGAGAGAGTGGATTGGGAGTCTGGGAGGGAGTTGAGAGGGAATTGTGGATCGGGGCAGAGGGTCCTGCCACTGCCAAATCCCTCACAGCTGGTGGACAGACATGGGGCCATTGGGTCAGGAAGCCGGGCCAGCAGGTGGTGGAAGGGACAGAATAGTCAAACAGGCTGCAGCATCACACAACACGCATCGTGTTCCTCATATCAACCCCCGTCCCTCCCCTCCCATTCCCCTCCTCTCACTCCTTTGTAAACATAAATCCCACTGTTCCGCCTTTCCCTTTGTCTCACTTCTGCCCCTTCCCCCCCCCATCTCACCTCCGCCCCCTCCCCCAGTTCACAATAGTCCGCCAGCAGCAAGCCCCCTTCCCCTTCTCCCTCCTCCTCCCTCCCCCCACGCCTGCCCCCTCCCCCAGCCACAGAGCAGCGCAGCAGCACCCGCCGGGGGAGGTGCCATCTGGTGAAGGGCGTTCTGTGCAGCTTGCCATTCAGCAATGGCCTCTCAATCACCTCCTCCTCCTCCACCTTGTCACTCTTCTCCTCCTCCCCTCCCTCCCTTGCCTTTCCCTTCAACTCTCCGCCTGCCCCTCTCTCCTTCTCCCCGCCCTCCGCCTCCTCGCGCTCCCCCTGTTCTGCCTGCTCCTCCTCTCCATCCTGCACCAGGTCGAGTCGGCTCACCACACTGCGCACCGCATCAACCTGAGGAAGGGGAGGGGAAGGAGGAGAGTGAGGAGAGGGGAGGAACAGTGACCACACAGGCACTCCCCTTCTTGCACCAGGTCGAGCCAGCTCACCACACTGCAAACCACATCGACCTGGACGTGAAGGGGGGAAGAGGCGAAAGGGCAGGGTGGAGGAAAGAGAAGGGCAGGTTGTTTGAGGATGAGGGGAAGGTAGGTACAGAGAGAGCACTGAGGCACTCCTCCCCATCCTGCACCAGGTCGAGGCGGTTCACTGCACTGCGCACCGCACCGGCCGGGATGTGAGGGGGGAAGGAGAAAAAATTACTTGCGAGCACGTGAGCAGGGGGCAGTAGGGGCAGCAACGCACCTTGAGGTCGTGCAGCACCTTGAGGTCGTGCAGCACCTTGAGGTCGGGCAGCACCTTGAGGTCGTGCAGGACTCGGGAGAAGGGATCTCGAGGCATGGCGAGGCAGAGCGCCAACACGCTGCCTGACAGCGCCACCATGCCATGCACACTGCCGTCCTTGGCACCTGTCGTGGTGGGAGAGGGAGGACGAAGAGGAATGCCAGGCACGGCTCAGCTTGAGTGGGTGGGGCATAGGAGGCATGGCGAGGCAGGGCGCCAGTACACTGCCTGACAGCACCTCCATGCCATGCACATGACCGTCCTTGGCGCCTGTCATGGTGGGGAGAATGTGGATAGAGGGATGGGAGGTGAGACATGGCAAGGGGTCTAGGGGCATGGCGAGGCAGAGCGCCAACACGCTGCCTGACAGCGCCACCATGCCATGCACTTGCCCGTCCTTGCTGGCTGCAGTGGTGGGAATGGGGGTGAGAGCCATGGGAGAAGGGAAGGACTGAGAGGACATGGCGAGGGTTTGCAGAGCATGGCGAGGGGCATGGTGAGGGGCATGGTGAGGGGCATGGCGAGGGGCATGGCGAGGGGCATGGCGAGGCAGAGCGCCAGCACGCCCCCATGCCATGCACGTGCCCAGCTTTGTTGCCTGCAGTGGTGCGGTGTGGGAGGGGCATGGTGACAGGGGAAGCGTCAGTGCTATGTGATGGGTGTGGGAACCGAAGCATGGCCTGCATGGGTTGGATGAAGGGGTGCGACGGCATCACTTGGCTTGGTGACTGAACACTGGGAATGTTATCTTAATCCATATTAAAAAAACTTAGATAAGCGGGCATATCTTACCATCTTGGAGAGGAACGTTCCAGGAAGGAGGGAGAGCCCAGTCCACACGCACGTGAGTGCTCCCCTCAGATGCCGCCTCCTCCCCTCCCTTCCCACCTCCCCCTCTGCCCCCTCTCCCTCCCCCCTTCTTTCCCCCCTTGCCCCCCTTTCCTCCCCCCCCTTTCCCTGCCTTTCCTGCCCCTCCTTTTGGGTTGATCTCTCCCCCAACCACGTCCCCCCCTTCCACCTGAGGGAGGGATATGTTTGGAGATGAGGGGGAGAGGAGGGAACAACGTGAGAGAGGGGGTGTAAGGGAGGGGACGAGAGTGAGGAAGTTCACAAGGGCGAGAAAATGCATACATGAGTACTCTCCTATCTTCCCACCATGGGGAGCTGATGACAACACGTGGGTTGCAGAGACCATCCCATGCTTAAGGGGAGTGGAGCTCATACATCCCATGGTAATGCCTTCAACCGAATGCCATGTTTGAGGTCAACCAATGGATTCTTTCGGTTGAGGACACTACCCCATGTGCGAAATAATAATTATCACACCCTGCACCCACCATCACACCCTGCACCCACCATCATGCCATCAACGAACGCCATGCCTCCATCCATCTGCCGAGCTAAATGCTTCATTGCACTTGCTGCTGCTGCTCGCACCGACGGGGGCGAGAGGACGGGCGGCGGAGGAGGAGAGGAGGGAGGAGCGGAGGAAGAGGAGGAGGGTGGGGGGAGTGATGGGGAGGAGATGACTGGAACTCTGGAAGGAGGGGGGATTTTGAAAGTAGGAGGGGAGGGAGGGGAGAGGAGAAGGTGTGAGAAGAAGCGCAGATGGGAGAGGTGGGTGATGATAGAAACGCATGGGTCTATCAAGCGAGATGAGTGCAACATTTTAAAACGGGTAAGCTGAAACGCGGAACGGGGGAAGGGAGGGGCAGGAGAGGGAGAGACGTACTGAGCACGGAGGGAGAGTGTTGAGGAGACGAGGATTGGAGACGGGATGGGAGCGAGCTTGAAGTCGCACGGTGACATGGCAGCTGACGTGGCAGGAGATGACGTGGCAACAGATCGCGCTGAGAACCTGAGGAAAGGGAATCAAGAGAGGGAATAGAGAACCCACGTCAAGGGGGAGCAGAGGATGGAGGGGACCTGGGGAATGGGCATGTGAAATGGCAAGGCGGACATGCGACAGAGCATGTCTTTCAAGTGATGCATGGGTTTGCTTCAGTCCATACATGGCCATGATATGATGCCAAAAATTAGGCATTGGCCATGGCACTGTCGCAACAAATTGCACGGCTGGAAGGTGGTGGTGTAGCATGGAGTGTGTGACGTGGAAAGGGGGCATGGCAATACATGCATGCCACAGCATGAAGTGGCACGGCAATGCATGGCACCGCATGGCACGTCATGGGCTGAGGTATGGCAGGGGCATCTGACCGGCGGGAGAAGGAGGAGATGTGCAGCAGAATGAGGTCCGAGGGGGGAGGGGGCAGCAGGGCGGCCAGCGAGGCGGGCGGCGAGAGTGAGGCTGCGAGCGAACGCAGGGCCTGGTGAGGAGAAGGGGGTGGAGAGGGGTGGAGAGGGATAGAGGGGGACGAAGGAAGTGAGGTGAGACAAGGGAGGTACAAACTGGGCTGAATGACATCCCGCGTGCCAGCCAGCCAGCCAGCAAGCAAGCAAGTAGCATGCATAAGGCATTAGAAGGCATCAGAAGGCATGGTATGCATAGCACGGCACAGCGACTGATTCACTTCTGAAAGTCAAAGGAGCGCTCTGCCTTGCGTTTAGGAGTGCTCTGTCGTGCAGTTGGGAGCGCTCTGCCGTGCAGTTGGGAGGGAACTTTTACCTGCAGCAAGGAGGGTGCGGCGTTGCTGTAGGCAGCATCGGAGCAGAAGGCGTATACCCCCAACACGCCCATGCCTCCAAGGAGCAACCGGGACACCTGTTGCAGAGGGGGATGGGGAGGAGGGAGATCAGTGGTGCAGGGCGAGCGGGGGAAACCTGTTGCAACACGCCCATGCCTCCCAACAACAGCCGTGACACCTGTTGCAGGACAGGTGGGGAGAGGGGAGATAGAAGATGCGAGGTGAGTGGGCAATGCAAAGGACTGTACACGGCATCGGAGCAGAAGGCGTGCATCCCCAGCACGCCCATGCCTCCCAGCAGCAACCGCGACACGTGCAGCAGGGAGAGAAGGGGAGGGAGAGGAGAGATGGTGATGCAGGGCGAGAGGACCAAGGGAGTAGGCGGCACACTGAGAAAAGGCGCACATGCCCCTCTTGACTGCACGCCATGCCAGGGCGGAGAAGGCTAGACAGGGCAAGGGGAGGAGGGATCGGGGAGAGACTAGGCGATGGGAGGAGAGGCGGAAAGGTGAAGTTCTCAAGGAGAAGGACAAGGGCGTTTAACTTGAATTGGAGGGTAAGGTCTGTACCAGAAATGAGTGATACAGTCACACAGAGCCAGATAACCTCGTTACCAGCTCACCTGCAGCGCGTGTTCGCCCACCCAGTCGCCGTCCACATGCCGCCACTCCTTCGCATCCGACCCGCTCCTCTCCCTGCCGCCCGCAACTGGCGCCGCCGCTCCTGGCGCTTCGGGCGTTGGCACGAGCGCGAAGAGCAGGTCGCGCGAGGCGCCGGATGCGGCGGCGGCGGCGGAAGAGGAGGAGGAGGGGGAGGATTGAGAAGCGATGCTGGAGCGACCGATGAGCAGTCCCAGCTGGTGGAAGGAGAGAGACATGTGAATGGAAGAATAGTATGAAGGAATAACGCCAGATTGATTCCGTTTGGGACGCGGTACGGAGCAAACGGGGCTCTCTCAGAGCCAGTAGTACGTTCCCCAGTGTAAACTCCGTGCAATTTGACCTTGCCTCAACGAGCATAGGATCCGGAGTCCGTCGCAGTGCGAATGCCTACATCTCGCCGGACCGTCCGTCACCTACCGTGCCTCACCTACCGTGCCTCACCTACCGTGCGTCACCTACCGTGCGTCACCTACCGTGCCTACATCGCTATGATCTCCTGCCGCGTCGCGTCGTACCTCCCATGTCGCCTTCTCGCGGAAGAGCTTGTCGACGTGGCGCTGGATCGCCGTCTCGTCCGCCACCACCGCGCGCCCCATCGCGACCGCGCCTTACCGTTGCGCGGCTAACGCGCTATTGCGGCCAATCGGCGAGCAGTCAAAGCAAAAGTGGGATATCTACAACACGTCACGAATCACCTATGACACTTCGAATCGAATGTTCGAATAGAACTGACTCGGCAGTAAGGCATTCGATAGCTAGATATGGTGGCTGTGATTTGTCGGCGGGGTCAGTAAGCGCGCAATAACCAATTTGGGACGCGGGCTGGAATTTCCCGAATCAAGGGTCACCCAAACCAACTCAACCTAACCCAAACTAGCCTAACCCAACCCAACCTCTCAGCACGTATTTCATTTCCACCCGTCCTCCATTTTGATTTGCGTGCTACCGTACTGCACCTTGGTAGTATGCAGTTCAGCTCAGATCAGATCAGAACATTTGAATCGAAGCCACACCCGCCGTCGTGCAAACCCTTTCAGCTGCACTTCAATCCACCACACCGCCACGAGCGCAGATCGGGGACGTGATGGCGACGCAACGCAAATGCTTCTTCGATTGTAGGCCGACTTGCAACATTTCCCCGAACCGTCGCTGGACTGTTTTCCCAGAACTAGCTCGTCTAGTAACCCTATTTCGTGGGTGCCTTAACTGATCGCGAGCTTACTATTTCTCCGGTTTGTGATCGCCCGCGATATTTGTTCCCCCTTCCGTTCCCCCCGGCAGGGCCACGACATTCTGATGGCGACGATGCTGAACGGCGCGGCGATCATGGACGGCGCGCTGCTGCTGATCGCGAGCGAGCTTACTATTTCTCCGGTTTCTGATCGCGCGCGATTATTTGTTCCGCCTTCCGTTTCACGCAATTCAAGATGATCTCAATTTTAAAATTCGCAGTCACTAGCTTTCCTCGCGCTCCATCGCTCTCCGCTCGCGACGCACCGCGTCGTCGTCCATCCGCCCCACTCCCCGCCATGCAATACCCTCTTCACCGCACCTCCTTTGCCTGCTCCCTCCGTCGCCGCTCCGCGGTAAGCCGTCAGCCAATTTTGTTCTCCACTATCGCCCAGCATCCGCGCGTGTTTTTCAGTGGAGGGGGGGGGGGGAAGGGAGGGGGGGGGGGAGGGGGGGGAGGGGGAGATTGCATGGAGGGGGAATGAGAGGAGGAAAGGCGTCTGTTCCGTCACGTGCTGCAAGCGCCGTAGTTGCTGGGTTTCCTGCTGCTGCCACTACTCGTGCTGCTGCTGGGCCTGGTGAGAGCGTGGGTGGATGTGAGTGGGTCGGTGGGTGGGAGGGAGGGAGAGAACGTAAGGGTAGAAACTGGAGGGGGTGAGAGGGAAAACGGGGGAATGAGAGGAGAGAGAAGGGAGATTGTACGCCGCGATAAGACCCCTCCTTTTTCCCCCAATGACCATGTTCCTCCGGGCATCTCTTCCCGCTCTGCCATTGTCTCTAAAATAAATCGACTTATATCTGTGAAAATCTTCGGCCCTAATGGGTGGGCTGAAGAGCGGGGATACCGGCACCACTAGGTGGGTGGTGCCTCAACCGCAACCCGTCTCAGGTGCGACCACACCGCGACTTGTCGCAGGAGGGCGTCGCCGGAGGCACAGGAGGCAGACGGGGTCGGGGACAACCAATGGAGGGCCCACGCCAGGATTCGTCCTAGTGGTGCGGTACCTCCAGTGGTACATGCCTCGGCACCAGAGCCGACTGTGGGGGCTACGTATTACCTTCCCCTCTGAAGCCAACGCCCATCAGGGTACGGCTGTCCCCGAAACGGGGCACGCGCATGTTGGGGGGATCGATGGGGGTTTTAGCCGATAACGGCACAGCCGGTACAACACTGCTTACCGAAGCGCCTATCCTCTACGGGGGGTAGGTTTCCTCCGGGGATCTCCTTAAAAGCCCAAAAAAAAAAAAAAAAAAAAAGTGAAAATCTTCTCCCCCTCCCCTTTGACGGGCGGGCCCCCCTCCGCTCACCCCCTGCCAACAGCATTGCCATCACCGCACCCCTTCCCTGCATACGGTCTGCTCCGCAGCATTGCTGACGTGGCCGCCAGGCCCGAGAGGCAGGTGGGGAGAGGACGGGAGGTAGGTGGGATGGGGGTGGGTGGTGGTGGGTGGTTGCGGCAAGCTCACCTGCCCCCAATCTATGCCAGCACTCCCTCTCCCTCCCACCTCCATTGCGTTCCACCTCCACCACCCCCACCGCCCTTACCCACTCCCAACCTATCTACCCTGTGTGTTCCACGTGCGTTGCTCGCCCACTCCTCCACTGCTCCGCTGTGCTGCAATGCACTCCCTCCTGCCATGCGCCTCGCCTCACACTCCACTCCCCCACTCCTCCCCACTCTCTTACTGCATCTTGATCAAACACCCGACTTGCCATTCACATCGTTCCCGCTTTCTTCCCCTCCATTCCCCTCTGTGTTCCCTACACTCTTCCCCCTTCGCACACCCTCCCTTTCTCCACCCACACCCCGGCGAGTGCCAGCGTGGTGGAGCAGTATGGTGACGTGGCAGCGGTGCACATCACCCACCCTGGGCACCAGCTTGACTTGACAAGATATGGAGATGAGGTAGGTGGTGCAGGTCGTTCCATGTGTAACGGCAGCTGCGCCGCAGCATTGTGTGCCCTCGCTGCTCGTAGCTGCTGCATTGTCCTTGAGGCATCCGGCCACATGTGACTGGATTTGACAGCTTTTGCACCTGATTGCTTCCAACTGCACTTGTGAGTGTTGTGCGCATGTGAATGTGTGCGCATGTGAATGTTGTTCGTCTTCCATACCATGCTTAAAACTTCACTCATATTGCGGAACGTCCTACCCCATTACCCGGTTTGCCATGCTCTGGAAAACGTAGCTTAGGGACAAACTCACAGCCAGTCAGTTAATCCATCTGCCTCTCTCTCTGCGCGCGTGTGAGTACCCTCGCCCTACTGGCCTGGTTTTGTGCCATCTGCACAGCTTCTCATCTGGGTGTCGTGTCTTTGTTGGCCGTGTTGTGACCTGTCTGCGTTCTGCTTAGCTGTCCACTTGTGTCCTCTGTCTGTCGGTCTGCCGGCCTTCAATCGCCTTGCCTGCCTGTCAGTCCTCCCCTCCTTCCCTGCGCTCCTGCCTGCCCTCTCGCCCAACCTTCTCGCACCAAATAGACTACAGCATCCCTCACCTCTCTTTCCTCATGCAACTTCCCCTCCCTCCCATTTGCGTGATTCTGCAGTCCTTCACTCTCTCTTGCTCCAAGGATGGAGAAAATCGCGCCTTCCCAGAGGCGGCAACAAGAAGTGCAGCTTGCTGTGTAGCAGCACCTGTTGCTCTGGTGGAAATTAGAGAAAACCTAAAAGTAGCGGGCAATTAGCAGCTGGTTGGAAGGACGTGGTATGTTGCATGTGAATGTAGTGTTGTAATGAACTGTTTGATACATCCCCATGAAAACCTGGAAGCTTAGAGGGTCCTGTATGGAGATTGGGATACTCATGTAGGAACTCTTGGAACTCATCACAGCGCAAGACATTCACTACTGAGGCCAAAAATCAGAAAATTGTACGTTACGACTCTAGACATCCCGTGCTGCAAAGAACGTATTCTTCTCAACAAAAACAAATGACCATGTAAACAGACTACCTATGTTATGAGTAAACCATGGTGATCATGACCTTGATACACCATTTAAACAACTGTCTTGCCACCGTGCTCGTGTAACCTGCAACATCGCAACAACGAGAACCGCGACACCTGTGAAAGACCCCCCCTAGTGCACGACCCCGCTGTAGTGAATGACCAGGACTAGAAGCTGCTCAGAATGCACCTGAGACAAAAGAGACAAAGAAAGAGAAAGAAGGTTGCAAGGAGCAGGTTGGTCAGGAGGGATCAATCATAGTGGTGATCGGGACTTATGCAATGTGGCTCCAGTGCTATGGAGGGAGCTCATAATGCACTTGCAAGTGGATTAGCCAACGGGACAGAGTGTGAGAAACGGAGGAGGTTGCAGCAGGGAGCAAAGAGGTGAGGCACTTAGTTTGAGGCAGTGAGGTGAGGAAATGAGGTTAGAAAGTGAGGTGAGGCAGTGTGGTGATGAAGGCAAAGGATGCACCGCCGAAAAAACCCGCTACCAAATGCCACTGCAGCAGCACCAACAGCTCCGCCACTAAGTGCCACTGCAGCAGCACCAACAGATCCGCCATTAAGTGCCACTGCAGCAGCACCAACAGCTCCGCTACTAAGTGCCACTGCACCAGCACCAACAGCTCCGCCACTAAGTCCCACTGCAGCTAGCGGTACTTGGTAGCGGCGCTATTGGTGTTGCTGCAGTGGCACTTGGTGGCGGAGCTGTTGGTGCTGCTGCAGTGGCACTTGATGGCGGAGCTGTTGGTGCTGCTGCAGTGGCACTTGATGGCGGAGCTGTTGGTGCTGCTGCAGTGGCACTTGATGGCGGAGCTGTTGGTGCTTCTGCAGTGGCACTTGGTGGCGGAGCTGTTGGCGCTGCAGAGAGCTAAGTGGGGTCGCTCTGTGGGGGCGCTAAGTGGGGACGCTAAGTGGGGGCGCTTAGTAGGGGCGCTATGTGGGGGCGCTAAGTGGGGGTGCTAAGTGGGGGCCAAGTGGGGTCATTAAGTGGGGACGATAAGTGGGCCCGCTAAGTGGGGGAGCGCTGAATCACGCCATCGATGCTCACCTTGACAAGGAGGCGTGTCTTCCCCTTACTCTCCCTCACAATCCCCTCATGGACTTGCGACTCCAATCAAACTCCAGCACCGCCTTCCTCTCCCACTGCTTGCCCCACCACTCGTTGGCATCTGCCATGGGCCAACGCGGGGAAATGGAAAGTGAAGTGGGAGAAGATGGCGGTTCCCAAAGTGGGACCATGGTTTCGGTTGTGTCAATCCCCAAACATGATATGTTGCTCCCACTGAAAACCCACTCAAGAGGGCCGATACTGCCACTACCGCAGCAGGGTCATTCCTCACGGATCTAGAAAGCAAGTGAACAGTAGGCACGCTGTGGGCGCCCCACAACGCACACACCTAGCAAGTGCGTGGCAGGCGCGCCCTTCCGCTTATTCCGAATGCTCAGCTGCATCGTGTCATCCGGCGCACCAATCTTCTCCGCCGGCACTCTCAGCGCCGCCTCTGTCGGTAGCCCCGACGCCCTGTACACGCCCCTCTGAGTGCTATGCTCGTGTCATTGCACAGGACAGCCGCTTGGGCGAAGATTGCGTGTTGGGAAAGGTGACTGAGCGCCCCCAGTTGATTATTTCCCCGTCAGCCGGGTTGTAAGAGGTTCCGTCGACGGCGAAGGAGAGGAAGGTGGACGGGAGGGTGCCTGGGAAGACTAGGGCTGACACAGCCATCTGATGAAGGTTGGGGTGGGCCATTTGGGGGTTGGGGGCATGTGGGTTAGACTCAAAGATGCTTGATGAACTTTATAAAAACAGCTAGTGAATACTTTTTCATTGAGCATTCCGATCAAATGTCTAGCCATCCTCGTTACTAGCCTTACCTGGTTCGTGGTCAGGGTGCCAGTCTTATCGGAGCAGATAATAGTGGTACAGAGGGAAGCTTCCTGACAATCGCATTCTTCTGCGCCATTTTCCTCGTTCCCAGAGCCAGGCACGTCGTGATCACAGCAGGTAACCCCTCGAGAATCGCCGCAACCGCCAATGCCACAGCAATCTTAAAATAATAAGTGCACTCAGGAAAGAAAAGGTAAATCTTAAGCCCCCGATCCACCACGCGGCAAAATCCTCCTTCCAAGAGAGGAAAAAATTGTCGTTGATCAGCCAGACAAGCAGGCAAATCACCCCGATGACTGTGGTTAACCACTCTCCGAACTCATCTAATTCTTCTTTCGGGGTGTGTCGTCCTCTTCAGCTGCTGCTGCTGCGATCTGCTGCTGAATCTTACCTATATCTGTGTTCATGCCCATGGCTATGACCAGGTTGCAGCTGGAGCTGTTGACCACTGTGGTGCCAGCGAACACCATGCTCTCCAGGCATTCCAGGCTCCTTTTCCAGCTCGTTGAACCCGAATCGGCTTCGTCGCCACGCGACATCCTGGGGATCTAGTGGCAGAATGTTATTATCTAGCCTGTAGTGGGGTGCTCTATAGCGAGTACAACCCAGTTAGGGTTTGCTATATGTATCCCAACTGCTACTAGTGAAACCCCTCTTTCGTCATTCTTCTTTTGTACTACCTAGTATTCTGATATGCTATCAGAGCAGGTCGACCCCCTTGGGTCGATCCTGTGGGTGGGCCCGCCACCTAACTGCTTCCGCTGCTGTTCTGCTTCTCGCGCGCCTCGGGCGCGCGCCTTCTTCTTCGCCTTGGGCGAAAATTTTTAGGGTTTTCATCCCGCCGTGCGCTCGGGGCGCGCGGCGAGTTTCTGCCCGCCGTGCGCCCCGAGGCGCGCGGCGGTTTTCTGCCGTGTGGGACCCGCGCCGACACCCCGCCCTTCCCGTCGCGTCGCCCTGCAGGCCGCGCGCGGGTCTGCAGGGCGCGTGCGGCCCGTCTGCCCGTCGCACGGCCTTGGGGAGCAGCGCCCGGCCCCCGCCCTTCCCGTCGCGTCGCCCTGCAGGTCGCGCGCGGGTCTGCAGGCCGCGCGCGGCCCGTCTGCCCGCCGCGCGGCCTTGGGGAGCCGCGTGCGGCCCCCGTTTCCCCGTCGCGGCGCCCTGGGGAGCCGCGCGCGGCCCCCCGCTGACTCGTCGCGGCGCCCAGGGGAGCCGCGAGCCGCCCCCGGGGATGCGCGCGCCCGTCCCCCTGGACCCGCGCGCCCCTCCCCTGGACCCGCGCGCTGCCCCCGGAACCTCCGCGCTCCCCCCCCGTCGACTCGCGCGCCGTCCCGGTTCGCCACGAGCGCCGCCCCCGCTGCTGCCCGCGCTCCTTCCTGTGTTAGGGTTTGGCGGTGGCGAGTGTGGGGGTGACAAGTGTGTGCGCCGTCCCCTGCTCCTCCTCCTCCTCCTCCTCCGTCTCCCACTGCTGCAGCTGCCGCTGAGGGGGGTGGATGTGTGGGAGCCGAGGGTTAGGGTTTAAAGGGGGGTGCCGTGGGAGTGGAGCTAGGGTTTCAGCAGGGGGTGTGTGAGAGGGGTGTGGGACGGTCGGGGGAGGTTGAGCGGAGGCTGCCGTCTTGTCGTCAGCAGCACCTGTAGTCCGGGGCGCTGTCCTGGTAGCCCAGTCGTAGCCAGCTGTGCCAGTCGCCCGTGGGTCCGTTGCTCCTGCCGCTCGTCTTAGCCGCGGAGCCAGTTACTCCAGTAGTCCGGGGCGCTGTTCCGGTAGCCGCTGTGCCAGTGTGACTCCTGTTGCCCGTGTGTCTGCAGCTTCAGCCGTCGCCTCCTATCTCCTCTCCTCTTACAGTCTCGCCTCCTCCTCTTCACCTGCCCTTTGTGAATGCCTCTAGCTTTGCTTATAATTGTGAACTATTACTATGCCTGCTCATTGTGCTGATTACACCCCACTTTGGCTATGGGGGTGTGTCAGAATGTTATTATCTAGCCTGTAGTGGGGTGCTCTATAGCGAGTACAACCCAGTTAGGGTTTGCTATATGTATCCCAACTGCTGCTAGTGAAACCCCTCTTTCGTCATTCTTC